AAACTTTTCCAAATTAAACATCAAATTTTGTAAATCATCTAAATCTTAAAACCAGTATGCTAGAAATATTTTCAACCAAATGGGCTTTAATACATAAAAAAAATTTATCGTATGCGTTGCCATCATTTGCACTATTAAGCATATTGTCTTGGAGTACAAAATGTGAATTTGTTTGTCCATGCTAAGGCAAGTATGCTACTTCCAAGCTTAAACATGGCTGAATTTTTTTTTTATTTGTTTTGTTTTATGAGTTATCAATGTTGTTTGTATCCAGATTTCTTTATCAGTGAAAATAATTTTTAGATTGACCGCAAGTGGTGATGTGGGATCTGAGAATTGTCCGCTCCCCAGGACTCTCCATTTAGTTCTATTTTTGTTTTGAGAGAACTTTGGAGGTCAAATTTTTAGAAGACAGATTGGATTGTAGATAAGACATTACCCTTGCGATGACTTTTTGATATGGGGTTCGAGGTTTCCTACAGGCGCAAGCTCTTATGGTTAATTACCCCTCATGATGATGGAAGAGTATTTTCGATTAAGTCAAGTCGTTAAGAATTGAATGTTTAACATACAATATCAGCAGACTTAAGATTTTAAATTACAAAATTTTTCACTTGAAAATTAAGAAGTGAATGGTGGGGATTGAAAACAAAACCTGATCAAAATCTCATGGTTTCGTCTTCCGGGGCTCGCATGGTCCCCGATCTACTTAGTTGGGGTAGGAGACCCAACTTGATAGAAGGATTTTTGTCATTAGCTATGAGTTGCATCTACCAAGAAATTTTTGTAGATTTGGGGTAGATATTTATTTAAGGGGATAAATTTAAGTTGGTGTGAGCTAACAGAAGGCTTTGTGTCAATTAATTGTACTATTATGATTCACAACTCAAAGAAAAGAAAATTTTTTAGGAACATACGGGTTGCGGTTGTAACCGTAATGTAATGATGTCATTTAGCTACAACAATCCAATCATAGGGCTATGGTTGTAACCTCTACTTTGTATTGTCATTTGACGGTAAAATTGTGCAGGCAGAGGACTTTGGTCACGTCTTTATCGACATGCAATTACTTCGATTGTGAATATAGTAATACATTTAATATGATATCAGCTTTCTGTTGGCTGAAGTCAATTAGAAATTTTACACCCTCGACAAACTGTTATGGATGCGAGATTTGATTATTTTGAAGATCCTGATTTAAAAGATTGACCTATCCGGCTGAAATCTTAGATCAACACCGCCATCATTGGGGTATTGAACATTTTTAGAGCTTTTGTACTTAAAAAGAGGGGGCATTTAGTTTAGTACAATTAGAAATTTTACAGATTGACCTATCCTATAAACAAGACGGTCTTATTAGCCCGCGCAACATACTCAAATCTAGTATTTAAGCATCCAATACAATGGTTGGAGCATATGTAGACATTTAAATTTCACGTTTTTGACTATTTTAGATGACTTTATATATCTTAAGATAATTTGTATAATTTTAATGCATGAATTGAATCTTATGTAAGATTTGAATTTATATAAATTTGCCTTATTTGAATGAATATATTGATGCATGTAGAGGTTCACTTTAAGCTTTATAAAATATCGTTTCTGTTTGCTTGTAAACATGTTGTGAATCCTGTAGCAATGACGTTAATTTAAAATTTTAAGAAAAGTCCACATTTGAATTATTCTTCGCCCATCGGAGCCTAAATTGGAAAATTTTAATTTTGAATTGATTTCGATGTTCTAAGAGCCTAAGTTTGAATAGCTCAATTTCAAAATATTTTTTTAAGCTTTGCGAGCTTAAAATTTGAAGTCAAAATTTTAAATTTTTAAGCCTTGAAATTTTATGTTTTAAAAGTCTAAATATTTAAAAGTCGAGGTCCTCAATATTTTAAAGTTAAAAGACAAATTTTAAAAGCCCAAATTTACAAATCATTTTAAAATTAAAATAAGTGATGTTTTATTTAATTTAAAATCCAAATTTTCAAATATTTTAATGTGATTACAAGTTCAAATCACCAGAAATTTTGGCAGCCTACTAGCATTAACCCCTCTTTGGGGCACGAGAGAATGTCAGTCTTCTTAAGTATCTTAAAAGACGAGATTGTTAGTGTCGTGAGATATTGTGGTCGGGAAGCAAAGTAAAAATTTAGCGTGCAATTTTAAAAGACACATCGGGCTTTCAATGTACATGCACAAAAGGTAAGATCACAAATCAATATTTTCCGAACAACACTTGATACTTGCTTTTCTCACAAATTGGTATTTTAAAATTCCAAAATTTTAAAAAATTTTCCAAACGAGTTCGTTGTTTTTACAAGACTTAATTTCCCCACGAACATGTACTCACGTTTCCTCGAGTGGATATTTCAAAAATCACCCCATTGTTCAAAAATATACCTTTCAAGCTCTGATAGCATTGATAGCGGTAGTACAATAAAAGTAATAATTCATCACAAATGTTCTCTTCCTTTTCTTTTTAATTGCAAAACAAAAAAAAAAAAAAGAAAAAAAGTAACATAAACACAAATAATGTCTCGGGTAAGTGCCCAAGTAGGGCAAAAATAGTCGGGCTCGGCTAATGTAATGCTCGGGCTCTAATAAGAAAGCAAAGAGGAACTCAGCTCGGTTTAGTGTGTAAGGCTTCTTGCGATTTGAAGCATATTGGGCTCTAGGGCAGTGGAAAACGTACGAGTGGCTTTGGATCACAAGGAAGTTGATTTGGAACGTGAGGAAGTGGCAATTATGTGTGGGCTTCAGAAGAACAGATTGCAGTGCAGGGAGGAAGAAATGTCACATAATTTTGTGGGCTAGCGCAGAGCAGTGGATTCGATCGAGCAGAGAGTATCGCACGCAGATGCTTCTGACACAAGGGGGTGTTGCTCGGTTTTGGGTTAGGGCAACGAGGGTTGCTGAGGATTTGTGGCATGCGGGAAGTCAGGGATGAAGGTTCTATTCAGTGTTAACTGTGGATCGAACGAAACACGCAGGGAGATGTTCGACATGTTATGAAAGATGACGACAATAAAGTGAAAAAATTGAATCAAAAAATTGTAAATCAGAAAAATAACACAGATTTACATGGTTCGACTAATTTGCATACATTTACAGAGCTGCAGAAGATTTTATTAGTTCGAGAAATTACACCGTCGAGCGCCTCGACGTTTACAAGAAAACTTCTTTTCTCTTTTTCTCTTCCTTTCTCTCTCTTAACTCTTAAGAGGACTTGACTTAGCTCTTATGACAGGCCAAAAGAGCCTATTTAAAGAAAACGGGAGAGGTAAGTGGAGAGAGGTAGGAGAGGTAGGTGAGTCACATGTTTTATATATTTAATAATTCTTAAACTTGGAGAATGAGACACTAACTGCACCACCTATAGGCTGCATCATCTGCTGGTTGTACCGACCTTTTTTTTTTCAAACATGATATCCTCCACTTTCCACCATCCTTGCAACTCTTGGCTCCTGTTTTCACACTGGAAGACCAACTGAAGTCGAACAAAACTTCAATTTCTCAAACGTAACAACCTTAGTTGACATATCAGCGCCAACGTAGCCTTGTATCTCCAAGCTCTTTCCTGTATTATTCATAAATTTGCTTACAACTCTCATTGCATGGGTAATATCCCATTTCAGTTGAAAGCCTTTTTCAACAAACCTAGTCATGTATCTCTTACTGTCATCAAGCACAGTCTTCACCCTGCACATCCACTTGTTAGTGAAAGTTCTGTCAGCTCCTAAGTCTGATTTCCTGGAAGGGAATCCGTCTCCTCCTCCTTGGTCAGCTCCCACATGCTCAAATTCTCATCTTGCAAGATTTCTTTATAGCTCTGACTCGTGTGACCAAGTCTGCAATGCTGCAGATCTGTCGTGCTCTCTACAACTGTAGTAGCAACAGTATTGAGTAAACTTATAGTCATATATAATGTATTAGTTTTCTTACTCTGAGTCAGTACTAGTGCTCT